GATACATGTTCCTAAGCAAATGTTATAGCTCACTAGTGAAACATGGGAACTACACAGTTGAAAAAACAAGGGAAAATCTTTACACAATTCCATGACAATGCAATATTCTTACAATCAAGAATATGTTCTTTCATAAGAAAAAGGGAATACCACAAGCATTGAAGCAAACCCATCATCCCAAAACAGAGAAAGTGGGGAAGAAAACACACACAAAAACAAAAAGGAAAAGAGAACACCATTATGAGAAAAAGGTGGGAGAGAGAAAATGATATTGAACCTCAGGTTGGATACAAGGGACACGCTTCCGTGGGTCCCAATCATTAAATGATAAATGGAATGCTCACATGGTGCTTCAAGTCATGGTCCTCCCCTCAAATTAATTTGTCCATGTAAAACAACCATACATAATGCAAATAAAAAAGAAGACAATTGGATAAATGCTGTGATACTGTATTTCATTAAGTATATCTAAGTATTTATACACTATAAAAATTTTTTTTTTTGGCCAACCACTATAGAATAGAAATTGAACTCAAATTCAACAGAAAGTAATAAAACATTAATGTAGATAATATTCTCAGTTATTACAATACCCCCTGACTTTGAGATTTCCAGCAACTAGGAGGATGGAGGTTCATATAATACTCACCTTTATGTCTATTAACTTTGGATTCTATGTTCTACCTACCTTTCTTTTTCATTTTTGCTTTTTAACCTGTCCTGCTTTTCCAGGCAACTTCCAACCGGAAAGAAAAAGATGCCCAAAACAAAACCGTGTGCGTCAATAATTCTCCATTGACTTGCTAGAAAAAAAAAATATATAGGTCTTCCTTCTCCTCCATAAGCTTTACACTTCTGAGTTCCCCTTTGCTTAATCTGTCTGCAGCTTCCTCAGTTTAGCCACAAGCTACAGGTATGTTATCTACTGCTATGTTTATATTTTCTGTTTGTTGTTGTTGATAAAATGAAATTATAGCTGATCCACCTTTCCTAAATATTTTCTAATCTGTTATGGTTATTGTTATATGTTTGTTCAGATCCGGTACCAATCTTGTGCTTCTTTGCTTTGCCTTCAGCTCCACTTATTTTCAACTTCCTCACCTCATTTTGCCAGTTGATCTGGAGGTATATATACACTACATGTTTTTTATTACTGTTTTTCTCTCTTGGATGTATAGAAGGTTTAATTTCTGTTTGAATCTCTGCTAAACATATGGGTATACAAAAATTGTCTTTAACCATGACAAAAATGTTTTTTTGATAATATGATAAAAATTTGTTAGTTTAGTATGTTGAAACCTATTCAATTTCAACTTGAAATTTCTCAAAGGTTCCCTACTCTGGTGTATGATCTATGATCTTTGACACAGAATGAATGTTATATATATAAAAGAGAGCAAAAGATGGTCAAATTATTTGGTTTAGATCATAACCCAACATGAAGCAAAATATCAACCAAGTCAGTAGATATATGTAGGAGTACCAAATTTTGTTTCCTTCAGCCTTTTTCTTTAGCTGAAGCAAACAATAACTCAAGTACCTCACTTGGTGTCACATTTCAAAATTGTTTGTTGTTGTTAATGAAATGGAATTATAGCTGATCGATTTACCTTTGTTAATTATTTTCTAATCTGTTATGGTTATTGTTATGTGTTTGTTCGGATTCGCTTCCAATCTTGTGTTTCTTTTGCTTTGCCTTTACACTTCTCACCCTGTTCCTCGCTTATTCTCAGCTTCTTTAGTTTACGTATGTCATCTACTGTTAAGCTTTTTTTTTTTTTCCCTGTGTTGTTGTTGTTGTTGATGCTAATCTCTATCCGTAATGGTTATTGTTATGTGTTTGTTTAGATCTTCGTCCGGCTCCATTCTTGTACTTCTTTGCTTTGCTTCCAGCTCCACTTATTTTAAACGTCCTTACCTCATTTTGCCACCTGATCTGCAGGTATATACTACTTTTATACTACGCCTATCTGTTTTTCTGATCTATTGGATGTATGGAAAGGTTTAATTTCTGGTTGAATCTCTACTAAACATATGCATACTTGATTTGTCTTTCACCATGACAAAAAGTGTTTTTTTCGTTACACAATATGACAAAAATGTGTTAGTTTAGTATGTTAAACAATTCAATTTTAACAAAGTATTTCTCACGGATTCCCTAGTCTTGTGTATGATGGATAATCTTTGAGACATGCACAAACAATGTAATACATACAAAAGAAACATAAGATAATCAAATAATTTGTTTTAGATAACCCAATATGAGGCAACAAATCCACCAAGTTGGTAAATATGTATAGGAAAGGGGAACAAAGATTGTTTACTTGTTTATGTTTTTTTCTTTATCTGAAGCAAACAAAAACTCAAGTACCTCAACTGGTGTCACATTTCAGGAATTTTATTCATGACAGAAATTTCAACACTAATTCTTGAATTCATAAAGTGTGTAGCACCTCCAACACGAAGTTATGTAGATAATCACAGAAACTTCAAAGAAAATGCAAAAGATTTGGAAGCCAAATTGAGCACTCTTAATTGGAGAAAAGTAGATATAGAAACACAACTTCTAACCAAGGTTTGCTTAGAAAAACAGGCCAAAAAAGAAGTGGAGAAATATTCCCTCTTTCACACCCAAAAAGTTTCATCATGTATTACCACAAAAAAAAAAAAAAAGTTTCATCATCAATAATTTTTTAATATCCAGTCTCCGATACAATTTTTGTTTTATACAGTCCATCATTTATTTATTTATTTTAAACATATGAAAATTACGAGAGATGAAAATTTTTTTTCAAGTCATTAACTTTGAATTAATTCAATCTAAATATTGAGGTTTTAGGTGAATCAATTGATACAAAAGCATAGTTCATGCAGTCCGTCATTTATTGATAAAAGTTTAATTGAATTGTTTAATTTCAAAATTTTTATTTGAGATAAAAGTTAAAATTTAAAAATTTTGTGTTGTTCAATAATTATATAAAAAAAATAGTGCGCAATTTTTAAATTTCATACGCAGCTGTCACCTTTGGATTCTTCTGTTTGTTTATAGTATGGGAAATTGTGATGCTTTTTTATCCAACGACCTACTGCATCAATAATTCTACATTGACTCGCCGACACCAAGGTCTTCCTCACTTTATTAAATCGCACCAAACACCAATAATTACGACCACCGTTACTACTGTTGCATGCTTTATTGCTTTATGCCTATCAACTTTGGATTCCATTCCACCTACGTTTTCTTTTTCTTTTTCTTTTTTTAAATATTTATAAGTACAACAATTTAAAGTAAAAAATATATAACGATAATTACATATACAAATAATGACTAAAATAAAATAACATAGATAACTTTTTATAAAATGATAGCCCACCATCCCGAAGGATTTCGGATTAAATTAAAGGGAATAGAAACAAAAGTTGGAGTAGAACAGTAGGTTTTTACTCGGCCGGACATGAGTTATGATTTTAGGCCTACATGTAATAGGGTTAAGTTTAACGATATCAATTACCATGTTTTCTTTTTATGGGCCTAAAGGATAAATCCCTTCTTTACTAATTTTTTTCTGAGGCCCAAAGTAGGGGCCTGTGGCCTACCCTGGGCCTTCTTTCGTCCGCCCCCTCGGAGATGGTAATGATGGTAACACTAGAAATATTCCCTCTTTCACACTGAAAAGTTTCATCATCAACAATTTTTTAATATCCAGTCTCCGATGCAGTCTTTGTTTCATACAGTCCGTTATTTATTGATAAAAGTTTGATTGAATTGTTTAATTTTAAAATTTTTATTTAAGATAAAAGTTAAAAATTAATAATTTTGTGTTGTTCAGTAATTATATAAAAAAAATAGTGCGCAAATTTTAAATTTCATATACAGCTGTCACCTTTGGATTCTTCTGTTTATAATGTGGCAGATTGTGATGCTTTTTTATCAAACCACCTACCGCATCAATAATTCTACATTGACTCGCCGATACCAAAGTCTTCCTTACTTTATTAAAACGCACCAAAGATCTATAATTACGACCACTATTACTTACTGTTGCATGCTTTATTGCTTTATGCCTATCAACTTTAGATTCTATTCTGTCAACTTTTTCTTTTTCTTTTTCATTTTTTAACTTGTCATGCTTTTCTTTGCAACTTCCCACCGGAAAGAAAAAGATGCCCAAAACTAAACCCCCTGTGCGTCAACAATTCTACGTTGACTATTTGACTTGCCTGCAGGAAAATATAGCTCTTCCTTTTCTGTACTCAAGCAGCTTTACACTTCTGATTTTTTCTTTGCTTATTCTCTTTGCAGCTTCCTCAGTCTAGCTACAGGCTATAGGTATGTTATCTACTGATGATCATGTTTATATTTTCTGTTTGTTGTTGTTAATGAAATGAAACTACAGCTGATTTACCTTTGTTAATTATTTTCTAATCTGTTATGGTTATTGTTGTGTGTTTGTTCAGATCCGCTACCAATCTTGTGCTTCTTTTGCTTTGGCTTTACACTTCTCACCCTGTTCTTCGCTTATTCTCAACTTCCTTAGTTTACGGTATGTCATCTATTGTTAAGCTTTTTTTTTTTCCTTTTTCCTGTGTTGTTGTTGTTGATGCATGAGAAGATAGGAATTCAATTATAGCTGATCATCTACCTTTGTTATTTTCTAATCTCTATCTGTTATGGTTATTGTTATGTGTTTGTTCAGATCTCCAACCAGCACCATTCTTGCTCTTCTTTGCTCTGCCTCCAGCTCCACTTATTTTCAACTTCCTTACCTCATTTTGCCAGCTGATCTACAGGTATATACTACTTTTTGTACTGCTCTCTATCTGTTTTTCTCTCTGGGATGTATGGAAAGGTTTAATTTCTGATTGAATCTCTACCAAACATATGCTTACTGGATTTGTCTTTCACCATGACAGAAGTGTTTTTTTCGTTACATAATATGACAATTATGTGTTAGTTTAGTATGTTAAACAATTCAATTTTAACTAAGAATTTCTCACAGATTCCCTAACCTTGTGTATGATGGACAATCTTTGACACATGTAGAACCAATGGAATACATACAAAAAAGGAACATAAGATAATCATATAATTTTGTTTAGATAACCCAACAGGAGGCAATGAATCCATCAAGTTAGTAAATATGCATAGAAAGGTGGAACAAAGACAGTTTACTTAGTTATGTTTTATTCTTTATCTAAAGCAAACAAAAACTCACGTACCTCAACTGGTGTCACATTTCAGGAATTTTCTTCATGGCAGAAATTGCAACACTAATTCTTGAATTCATAAAGTGTGTAGCACCTCCAACACGAAGTTGTGTAGATAATCACAGAAAATTCAAAGAAAATGCAGAAGATCTGAGAAACAAATTGAGAATTCTTGAGGCCAGAAAAGAAGATGTAGAAACACGGCTACAAGACGAGGTTTGCTCAGAAAAACAGGCCAAAAAAGAAGTGGTGGTATGGCTTCAAGATGTAGAGAAGATCAATGCTGAAATTCAAGATGTTTTAAAAAGGGTGCACGGTACTTCATACTTCTCACGAGCTCGCCTTGGAAAACTTGCTCGTGAAAAAATTAATGTACTGGATGCAATTCTTCAACGAGGCAGTTTTCCTGAAGGACTGGTAGTTAATGAGCCTGCAACTGCTTTGCCTTTTCCAGTGGAGAATCTAGAAGGTGAGGTTTTTGTGAAGGAAAGGATATGGGGATACTTGATAGGCAATGAGGTCCCAATGATTGGAGTTTGTGGAATCGGGGGTGTTGGGAAGACCACCATTATGAAGCATATCCATAATGAATTGCTATTGATGGAGTCCAGATTTGATAATGTGATCTGGGTCACCGTCTCATATCCACTCAATGTTGTTAGATTACAACATGAAATTGCTAACGGAATAAATGAAAGCCTCCCAGAGAATGAGGATGAGCAGAAGCGGGCTTCAAGATTGATGCGGATAATGGGGAAAGTGAAATATGTGTTGATATTAGATGATGTGTGGCAGAGGTTTAGTCTCAAAGATGTTGGCATCCCAAGTCCCACAATGGAAAACGGTTCCAAACTAGTTATTACTAGTAGAAAGGTGGATGTATGCAAGTCCATTGGTTGTCAAATAGTTAAAGTGTCTCCTCTTTCAGAGGAAGAGTCTTTGAATTTGTTCTTAGATAAGGTGGGAAGTGACATTCTACAAGTTCCAGAATTGGAAGGAACTTGGAAGGCCATGGTGGAGGAGTGTGCTGGACTACCCTTGGCTATTGTTGTAATAGCTGGGAGCATGAAAGGAGTAACTGATGTTTGTGAGTGGAGGCATGCTTTAAATGAATTACGTGAACGTGTAAGAGCTACAGCTGAAGGTTCAGAAGATGAGATATTTGAGCGATTGAAGTTCAGCTATGATCGTTTGCAAGATTCAAATATCCAAAATTGTTTCTTATCTTGCTCACTATATGCTGAAGACTATGAAATCAGAAGTAATAATCTGGTCGAACAATGGATTGATGAGGGATTTATTGAAGAATCGGGGAGTAGACGAGCAATGCTTGATAAAGGACAAACCATATTAAACAGGCTTGAAAACAGTTGTCTGTTGGAGAAAACTCGTTTTGTGGGCACTAATAAAATGCATGATCTTGTGAGAGTTATGGCATTGCGCATCCGTCCCCAATTTATGGTGAAAGCTGGTATGAGACTAACAGAGATGCCAGATGAGCATGAATGGACTGAAAATCTTGAAAAGGTTTCCTTGATGGAGAATGAAATTTCAGATATTCCTCTAAACATGTGCCCAAATTGTCCCATTCTCACAACCTTGATGTTGCAAGGGAATAGCAAATTGATCCAAATTCCAGATTGCTTTTTTGCAAACATGCAAAGGCTCAAGTGCCTAAATCTTTCTGAAACTAGCATTGAAAGTCTACCTCATTCCATCTGCAATTTGGAGAATCTTACTACATTGCTGTTGCAGTGTTGTAGGCAATTAAAACATGTGCCTTGCTTAGCAAAGCTTAAGGCATTGAAGAAGTTGGATATGTTTAAAGCAGGAATTGATGTGGTCCCTGAAGGCATTGATATGCTTGTAAATCTCCAATATCTTGATTTACGGTGTCCAGAATTGGCGGAGCTACCGACACAAATACTCGGTAACCTCTCTCACCTCCAACGCTTGACAGTATATTCCAAATCGACCACTTTAAAGATAAAAGGAGAAGAAGTAAGAGGATTGAAGAAGTTGGAGACTTTTCAAGCTCAATTGTATGACTTGCAAGACTTGAACAATTATGTTAAGTCCAATCATTTTAAAAGATTGAGTAATTACCAGCTTGTGGTTGGACAAGTGGAGGGCAACTTTGCTCCTTTTATTAATAATTTCTCTAAAGAAATAAGTTTAGGAGAATGTGAGATAGGTGGAGAAGATAGTGTGGTGCTTCCGGATGAAGTGGAGGAACTATGGATTCATCGGTGTAGAAAATTTAGAAGCTTAAGTGATATTTATTCTCTCCAAAAAACAACTGAGTTGAGAAGGTGTACTGTTACTGAGTGTGAAGAGATAGGGTGTGTGGTTGACATGGTTACGTCATCATCATCTTTCATTAATAACCTTGAACTGCTATGGCTTCGTAAGTTGCCCAACTTGAGTGTTGTTGTGAATGTGGAAGGAGTAGAAGCAACATCGCCTCACATCTTTTCCAATCTTAAATTCTTTGGGATGTCGGAATGTTCAACAATGAAGAGGTTGTTTTCACTTGAGCTGCTGCAAGGCCTTCAAAACTTGGAGTGGATTACAGTTAAGAATTGTCAACAAATGGAGGAAATAATAGGGTGGGAAGGAGAAGAGGAAAATCACACAGCTGATGCAACTACTACTACTACATTCACTCTTCCAAAATTAAGAGTGTTGGAGTTGCGGAATTTACCAGAATTGAAGAGAATCTGCCCCACAAGAGGAGTAATGGTTTGTGATTCTCTCCAATTGTTAGAAATAAAGGAATGTCCAAAGTTAAGGAAGATTCCCCTGGTAGGGAATGTACGATCATCTCCTCCTACTGCTTTAAAAAGAATCAGTATAAAGCCAAAAGAATTATGGGAATCACTGGAGTGGGACGATCCCAATGCCAAAAATGTCCTTCAACCCTTTGTGTATTTTCCTACTTATTGAGGACTGCAAATGGAAAGTTTTGCATAAAATCAAATGGCAGAGATCCAATACCACGGGTAAGCCTTCTTTTCTTTTCTTATTAATGTTCAAACTGCAAAATTTCACTCTCGTTTCTTTTTTCCCTTTTTTTTTTTTAAATATCCTTTATTTTTTTTAATCATATATTCACCGTTGAACATTTGAAACCAAATATTTTTGTGGTTCATATATATGATCGATCTTTTGGCTGATGCTTTTAGCCATCATTTGATTCAATTCTCTCAAAATCATTAATGTTTAATTAATTCATCTTTCATCTAGTGGGTAATGGATCAACAACTAACTAATCTTGTGTGAATTGATTTTTGATCAAATTGGTTTTTGTTGTCATTTAATTGATCTATTGTGATTTGTGAGAAAGACTGTCAAGTTTATATGATTTTTGAGGGTTGGAGCGCAATAAGTCTAGGAAGATTTGAGCTTATTTTTGGTTATGCACATCAGGTATTTGATGAAATGCTTGTGTGGAGATATGGGTTTGTTTTCTGGAATGTGTTTTGCTAGGATAGGCTACACTAGCTACAAAGGGTTTAGAAAGATGGTGTGGGGTATTTTAGGGTGATATGCTACGTATGTTTTCGATTTGAGAATCTTTGTAATGTGTGGATTAGATTACTCCCTAATGCTTATACTTCTCTTTTACTGATGATGAATGGCTTTGTGGGATCATGTTGTGCAGCTTGGGTCTGCATCTTTGTTCAGCCGGTCAAAAGGATCTCATCTTGGAATGGGCAGGAAATTAAACCAAAACAATGGGTCGATTCCGCACATCTACTTGACTTGAATGTTGTTTCATAATCTTTGAAATCTCTATTTGTTTTTGAATGCTAGTATTATGTAAAACCCAGTTCATTTCTTGCTTCTTATTTTCATTAACTTGTGTGATGTTGTGTAAGTTACATTATAATTGTGTGATGTTGTGTAAGTTACATTATATAGTTGTGTGATTGTTTTTTGGATATTAGTGTAAGTTACATTATATAGTTGTGTGATGTTGTGTAAGTTACATTATATAGTTGTGTGATTGTTTTTTGGATATTAGTGTAAGTTACATTATATAGTTGTGTGATGTTGTGTAAGTTACATTATATAGTTGTGTGATTGTTTTTTGAATATTAGTGTAAGTTACATTATATAGTTGTGTGATTATTCTTTGGATATTAGTCTCAAAATCTTAAATTATTGTTGTAATTAACTTGATTATCTCTCTGAATAAAAAAGAATCATACATTTATTATTAAAAAAATGTTTCTTTACAAAATAAAGAAAAAAAGAAAAAGAAAAAAGAATGAAGTTTAAAAATTCAATTACCAGAATACTTATAATATGACATTTCTCTCTCTCTCCTTGAGAAGGAAGGAAATTACATTTGGAGACATCAGTATACAAAACTGCGAACAACAGGGATCTTTGGAGTCATGCATAGACTCGGGCGAGTATACCACACCATTGTTTCCATCAGCATGTGAGAAAATGTTGTGAGAAAATGTTGTGAGAAGCAATTTCCACAGTGTGTGATGGAGAACTACCAGGAAATCCAACATTCCCTGAGATCCTAAGTGAAAACTGGACAATATCTTATGCTTTCTACTAAATATTTCTGACAATGAGCTAGAGAACAGACTGCTTTCATGCCGGATCAAATTGGTGTTGGTCCTGTTTCCATTCATTTTATTTGCTACTGCTGGCATATACAAGCCAGACCAAGATTTTGGATGGTGATCCACTGAATTCCATGAACTCTCAGACAAAACTGGAAATTAGTCCTCTAGAAATTCCCCCCATGCCTAGCTT